CCGGGGGGGGGGGGGGGGGGGGGGGGGGGGGTACTCATAGTCGTGCATGCCGTAGTCGTTAGACTATTGACCTCGCATCCCTACAAAGCCGGGACGGAGCACGCCGGGTTCTCACTGGACCAGGCTCTCACATCACCAAGCGTGAAGCGCCGTGAGGTATTCGGCGAGTCGCATGAAGGGTGAGCTGCATCCTGCTAAGGGTGTTCGGCATCTTGTGCTTACTTCCTTGCGTACGGATGACAGCTGCGTATGACTTAGCTTATTTTCTGGTGCTTTCACTTCCAGAGACCGTTGTAAGCACTGTGTAACTGCCTCGAGGATGCTTCACCATTTTAACACAACGTGGTGCGATTATCCCCCTTGCGCGGAGTGAGGGTTCTCGACCCCGCACAACATTATCTACTCGACCACCATTCATGGTTACCGCAAAAAAAAAAACAGAGGTAAAAAAAAACGTTAACCTGGTTGCCGAGTTCACGAAGTGATCGGCTTGTTTTACAACGTTGTTGCCAAGCGACGAAAACCCAATCCCGATGGCAAACACCGGGGAGGGGGGTGGGGGGGGGTATTCGTCTTTCGCGTGTCATAGAAGTTTTACCATTAAAACCACGAATAATTTCGAAGAGCAACCCCTCTCCTATTGGCATTAACGACACCATCAACAATTGAACACATATGATGTATTTCCCTACTGCAGTGAGAACTCCGCGACGGGAGCCGGGTAAGCGGCATCAAAGTTGCTTCCAACACGGAACCAACAGTGCTGGCGGTGGAGTCCTTTAATACCAACAAACAATGCGAGGGCACAAACCGAAAGAACACACGAGCCTCTGGTAGCGGAGGTACCACACGCGTTTGTTCTGTGTTTGGTCGTCGCAGCGAGGAATTGGCGAGCCCGCGCAAAAGTAAGCACGGAGTATTCCGAAGCATCACATCAGAATACCAACCACACACTTGAAGTTCGGGCATCTAGGCGACAGAATGGCAACACTTGACAACACTCCAATATTGGTAAGTGGGACATCTTGACACTCGACGAAGTGCAAGAAACAAGAGGGAGAGGGTACATTTATACAATTATTCCCAACATAATAGCGTGAACGAGCATGGACCCAAGCACTCCGGTTGTAATCGACAAAGACGAAACAGAACAAAGAGATACAACCGAAAGGAAGGAAGGAAATCAAGCACCTGCCAGGGAGGAGGCCGTAATCATGAGGGGTAAGTCGAGCGCCGCGAAGAAGTACAGCGTGGGGATCCATTTCCACAGGACTGTCGGCAAAGAAATCGTCCAGGGGGGGGCGCGGAAGGGCACAAGCAGGGAGTAACGGTCAGTCGGGAAAACGGTGTAGAGAGTTGAAACTTTTTTGTTGCCGCCAACTCTAACACTGGCACTGATAGCTCCAGCAACAGTACGCCAAACTAGATCAACAGCCCGCGATCAAGTCGTGCCTTTTTTTACTATTGGGGAACGGGTGTGATGTTCTGCGGGCGGTAGAATTGTGAAATACGCGGTGTGCGTAGAAGAGGTACGGCCACAAAATGATACCAGTACTAATGGTTAGACAACTTCTGGTCAGGTCGGTTTGTTGCGGCATGTGAGATAGTACCGAGATGAATGGATGTGGCTCTCTTTGATCCGGTTGGGTCGAACTTCACGTACCATAGGGTGATTGAAAGCGTAGGTCACCTTCATTTGACGGTAGCGCCTGCTTGGGAGACTGGTTTTTAATGACGTGGTGCCCCGCCATCCCGAAGCCGCAGTTCAGGCCCACCACCACCGTATCCTCCTTCCGAAACGTCGCCAACCGGCCTCTGACACAAAAAGAAGGAGACACAACCAACGAAACGAGAGAGGTATTCGACAAGGTGCTAGAAGTATCAAACAATCACGATCTTTCTAATTCGACCAGACACAACTAACATGAGCAATTGTAGCATACGTAGGCGTGGTGACCCAGCTCTCCGTCTTCTTCTTCGCAGCGGACCAGCTGCAAGACACACAGCGCTCTTCAGAACCCGGTACGCCACTGAACAGGGTCAACATTTGGTTCGCAAATCACAGGCCGCCCCGCGGTCACAGCCATGGCGAACAACAACAGGGGCCGAGTCCATCAGCAGAAGCACCATAGTGACTTACTTCTGCAGGAAGAAGTCCACTCCGTTAGCCTTCCAGCACTCCACCCTCATCCTCGGGCCCTGGACAGCAAAGCAATCCCATCGCACGATGGCTGTTGCTTGTTGCATAATAATAACTTCTATGTGGGTGAGGGGGGGGGGCGCCGCCAGTGAAAAAGTTCCGTCATCCGCTCAGCACGTCGACAGAAAAAATAGAAAAAAAAACATTGCACGTACTCGTACCGGCGGCTTCGTCAGGCGGTTGCCTGCTTCTTCGGTGCTCACCCCTTCCCACTTTTGAGCAACTTCTACTACGCAATCCTCGCCGCCCGCACGAAACACGACCAACCACAGTGCAACTGCTCGGGGGCAGCAATCAGTCAGGGCTTCACGACTCCAGACAAGATCGAGAAACCGGACATTCTTGATGACCGGTGCCGTTCGAACGCGCAGCCCTCCTGGACAGAAGAACACTGCACAACATATCTTAACGTTTTTACATAACGTACTTTGCAACGTCGCGGCACATGATACCAGGTGGCTCTATGCTGTGGGGCTGTGCTGGGTAAGCAAGCTCATATGACTGAAACCAAATCATCCTCAGCAAGCTCCAAGTATTGACTGGCTGGAACCAAACCATTCTCGGAACCGTGCTCAAACCTCCCCGTCCTCACGTCAGCTTGTCCTTCCTCCCGGCCGGGCTTCGTGTGGAACACGCCGTCCTTGCCGCTCATCTCGGGGCCTGTCAGGTACAGGTGCAACTCCCGCCCGCTGAAAAAGTTGGACAGCTCGTCCCAGTAGTTGGTCTCTCTCAGGATTTTCTTGAAAGCACACACACACACACACACAGAGAAAGAGGGAGAGAGAGAGAGAGAGAGAGAGAGAGAGAGAGACAGACAGACAGACAGACAGACAGACAAACAGACAGAGACAGAGAGAGGTCAAACGTGGAACTCACGAATTAATCGTTTCCCACCGCAAATTGCACAAGTGTTATTCAGAAAGAGAGAGAGATCGAACTCAAAGACTGCTGCTATTAGTAAGTTTACGAGGTTAAGCACTACATAGACCCGAGAGGCGACCGGCGAAGTAACAGCAGCAGCAACAGGCGGTGATGAGACTGTATGTAGATTTGGATTTTTTGTTTTTTGGTTACTGAGGTTCACTGAGCTCTTCGAGTCAACAACACGTCAGCTGTGTGAGTTGTTCAGCTTGGGAAACTTCACACAGCAACTGGTAGCCAGCTGTCGCTTGGTGCTGCTCCCTGCTTATATTTCCACCTTGCATCACTTGTACAGGAGTACAAAGTCCACACCCGGGGGGCTTCGCGCCCCCCGTCCTCTGTTGGAGGGAATAGCCGCCCGCGTCTTCGCAGAGGGTGAGAGTAATAAAAGTGTGTAGTATGTCAGGTGGAAGGTACAGTAGCGTACATGTGTTCCATGTGTTCAAGAAGTACACAATAACTAATAAACCATTTCCGCCGGCAAGTTGTTGTGTGTGTTTTTCAAAATTTTGAAATAGCAGGCGTTTGCCCGCATGTTGCCGGTGGCGATTTGAAAGTCCCCACGGCTACACCACGGCTCATGGGCGTGACTATCAGTCGCCGTGTGCGTCGGGGGTGTGAGAATGGGTGTGGATGGAAAGACATACAGCACAGAAGGGTGATGATGCTTGGACACAGCTCTCTACGCAATAAAAGGCCCACAGTACATAGGATAGACTGGACTGTAGGTTTCGGAGTCAAAATACAGCAGTGTCTCGTCGTCCATCAGCGTCGCGAAAAGTGACAGTACATACGATAGATGCGGGTGCAAGCGGGGGGTTACAGCCCGCAACAGAAGAGTCGTGACCGAGATAGCGGTCCCTGTCGGCGCCGCGAATCGAGAGGGCCGATCGGGCTCCGTGCGCGGGCGAGCCGAAATCGTCTCAAGGTGAGAGTTGCCCAAAACACCCCGTTTCTCTGTGAGGCGCCCAAAACGTAAGTTTCAGATTGAGCTCAAAACACCTACCTCTCATACTTCGCAGCAATTTACTCCGCAAAAGAAAAACATGTTGTACCTCCTCGTTGACAGCCGTCGCGCCAATGACCACGATGTGCAGCGGGTTCCCGTTTTCCGCAGCGTCCATCCTGGAGCTGCCCTTTGCTTGTGCCTCCGCGTGGATCCAGACCGAAACCATGAACGCGATCACCAGCGGTGCCGAGAGGCCGTCCTTGAGGGTCTTGCTCTTCATGGCGCTCTTCGTCAACGCATTTGTTCCGCACCTTCAAAAACCAAACACGAGGCACAAACGAAGGAGAAAATAAACGATACAACAGATGACGGTATGAAAGCACACACACAAATAACAAAATCCCCTTCCGTGAACCCTTGCGAGAAATCTCTCCCCACTTGCACCTTCCTAAGGCACTACGAGGCTCGACAGCATCGAAACGATCTGAGGCTTCGTTCTGGCTCACAAACAGTCTGTACATGACCCGGTTGCCGCAGGCTACAAACACCGTCGTAGAGTTCAGCTCTCCACCGCTTTCCGAGCCAACCCGGAACGCATCATGCTGTGGGGGACAAATCAGCATTTGGACGAGAGCGGTGTTGAAACAAAACGAAACAAAGTGGACAACAATACCATCGAATGATGGGGGTGAGTGGAACTCAAATGCGAGTATTAACAATTATTTCATTTATTTTTTTCGTAGAATCGCAGCATTTTCTCCGGGCCGGGAAACGCTCTCTCGAGCGCTCTCAGGCCACCACGCTTATTCACTTGGTTTCAGAGTGCAGTCCGGACCGTTCGAGCGCTGACAGGCAAGCATTTCGCATTTTGCAGTTTTCGCAATTTTGACGCTCGGAGCGCAGTTCCTTCGGTCCGATGTGCTCTATCGTCCTCTCCAATGCCATTCCGTTCGTCTCTGCCTTCTTTTTTCTCTACCGGTCTCGCTGTCTCGCCGTCCGTCGAGTCGTGAGAGACGCTCTCTCTCTCTCTCTCTCTTCGGCGCTTTTTCTCTCTCTCCTCTCTCGGAATTAGAATCGGAACCAGAGTCCGAATGGGCGGTACAACTTTATTATTAAGGTACCAGGTATATTTATTTTTTCCCGTTTCTCTCTCTGTCTGTATCTGTGATTCTCTCTCCGTCTCTGTGTCTGTCTGTGTGTCTTTCTCTGCCTTCTCCCTCTCTCATTTGTTTCCTGTCTCTCTCTTTCTGTCTCTCTCTATCTCCCTCTGTCACACACACAATAATACCTATAATTTTTACACGTGTGTCACACATATTCTCTCTATCTCCCTCTGTCACACACACAATAATACCTATAATTTTTACACGTGTCTCACACATATTCTCTCTATCTCCCTCTGTCACACACACAATAATACCTATAATTTTTACACGTGTGTCACACATATTTTGCACGTGTGTGCGGCTCTTTTCTCATATGAATAACATATCTTTATCTTTTCTCATATGAATATCTTTTTCCGGAATATTTTTCCGGAATCCATCGGCGTTCGGTCAACGGGCGGTGAGGTTCGGTAGATCTTCTTATATATTAGGGTTTTCGCTCCCGCTCACGCGCGCCCTCGCGCCGTCCGCGCAAGCTCCCACTCCATCCCACACCATTCTCTCGCGCACTCGAGTATGGCGTCGCGCAACATTTTTGCGTCTACTCCGCCCAGCACCAAGCGGAATTCAACATGCTTACGTATCTCGACTACAACGAAATGTACATAGTCAAGAAGGAGAAAGCGCGTACAAAATGCTATAGAGATACATACCGCAATTTTGTTACGCCACGTTCATCTGAAAAGCATGTCGCACGTGTGTCGGCCATGTCCCCTCTGATAAAGGTGACGTTTTCTACCTGCGCTTACTTCTACACCACAAGCCCGCAAGATCATTTCAGCAATTACGAACTCACGAAGACGTTGTGTATGACACCTTTCAGGACGCCGCTAGAGCCATGGGTATAATCAAACACGACGAAGAATACAAAGTATGCCTAGAGGAGCCCATTATTTTCAACACGGGTAGACAGTTGCGCCAGCTATTTGTTACGCTCATAATATTCTTGACGGCGCACCTGCAGAACTTCTTTGGGAGCATTTCAACAAGGAATTCACGGCAGATTTGCGCATGTCCATGACCGATCTCGATGCCGATAACGCAGCCCTTCGCGAAATCAATCTCGGGTTACAGCACCATGGACGCACGAACGTAATCGTTGGACTGCCGTAATCCATCTAGACACTGAGTACTTGCGTTTCAAGCACATGTTTGATCCGGAGATAATGCGCATGTTTGTTGCCGAGCATCTCCCAAACCTCACCGCCGAGCAACGTCATGTTTACGATAGCGTCGTTACCAGCGTGTCATCAGGTTCGTCTAACGTATTCAAGAAAGACGCGCCTGCTGGAACGGGAAAGACATACACGGAGAGCGTACTATGTGCCCACCTACGATCACATAGTAAATTAGTGCTCTGTGTTGCGAGTACGGGTATCGCAGGTCTCCAACTACCTGGGGGGGGGTGGACTGCGCACTCCATGTTCAAACTGCCACTGGATGAAAAGAATGTCAGCGGTGCGACGTGCAATATCCCCGCTGAATCGCAACGAGCAGAAGTATTACGGAAGTGTGACCTTATTGTTTGGGACGAAATCCCAATGAGCCATCGTTTTTCTGTCGAAGCTCTTCATCTTACACTCAAAGATCTTATGGGCAATAACATGATCATGGGAGGCAAGACTGAAGCGATCATCTATCATGTTGTCACACGACAGACAGACATGCACGTCAAACGGGCATCCTCAACGACACATAACTTCCATTTAACCTTCCACGATCCCCACACGTACCGTCCCCGTGTACCTTGGGACTCGCTCCATTGGGCGTGGCGGCGTAAGCCGCCAAAAAACTTGTAATATTCTGGTTTCAACGGAACGGTTACAGCAGTAGCGTCACTCACCTCCAGGAGAAGTATTTATTCCACCCGTGCCGAAGGATGTTGTTGTACAGGATAGGCACACTCCGCTCCACCATCATGTGGGACAGCGCAAATATCCTCAGTCCCTCTTGGCCTCCTACGTGTACCGTCGTTGGCATCGGCGGCAGCACCGGGGCTTCCTGACGAGAGAGACGAAACGCAGACGTATCACAAGAGCAAAAAAAAAAAGAAAGCAAAATAGGCTGTCAAAGCTATCCACCCTAAGCGGACTCAAAGGCAATCAGGTAATCAGACGCATCATCACAGTTGCAAATCCCCCCCGGGGAAATCTCAAGCAAACTCGCGTCGAAGGGATTCTCGGGGTGTTACTGTCTACCTACGAGTTGTACATGCCCTAACGGCGATGGAATAAAAAAACACCTCAATCTGTCGACTCTGGCTGCCAACGACTGCTGTGTTCTTCTTCTTAAGGAGTCGCCGTCTGCAAGAGGATCACAAAGTTCCAGTCCAGGTTATGGCCGATTTGGAGAAGACGGCCGAGCAAAACAGCGGATCTTCAGTGCTTCGGGTTCTCGCACTTTGCTAAAAGACTAAGACTTGGTGCTGCACGCGGTGCCCGAACACTGGTGTTTGTATCTCTACACGCGGTATACTTGCCTCGCTGTTGTCCCATCTGAAACTCTCCGTGCATCCGATCTTGGTGACCACGCTGCTGCTGCGGTCAGACTTCTTGCTGCTCATGCCAGAGGAAAATCGAACAAACAAAGCACAGACCAAGGCAAGCAGGCCACGGAACGACGAATCAAACCCTGTACGGACAGCAGTACGGTTGCCAAACGATCACCTACAAGAAAAGTTAGTGTGGTTTTCCGCCTTGGACGTTGGAAAGAGGAGCTCGGTCGTGAGCTGTGAAACGGTTTCAAACGACCATCCAACTACAAAAACAGTTCCCAGCGTCTAACGACGACGTGCCTGCTTCCTTCCTGGGTGTTGAAATCCGCGCTTGATGTGTTTGGGCTTGTTGGCTGGTATGTCTACCTATGATGGGCAGCGGCCAACTAAATAACGGGCACTCACCCTTTCACCGTTACCGACTGCTTGGGGAAGACGGAGACACCCCACCCTCACGCACTTGCTCTCTCGTTGACTTATTTTACTATCAAGAGGAGTCGGTTCATTCGTGCGGGGTTCGCCGAGATCCCCGGCTCTCTCAAGCGCGACAATGTGTGTCTCAAACGCCTGTACTGCAACTGCAGCAATGGCGATCTGGCAAGGTTCACAATCGGTTGCCTCGATGTATGATGGTTGTCTGGCCTACCTGGAGCTTGTGCGAGGAGCGGATGCGCTGCTGGTGGTCACGTTGGTTGCCTCGACTGCCCAGCAGGGGAATTGGTCCATTCGATCGATAAACGGACGAGCGACGGTTCGGCACGAAACAAGCAGATGCACGAGGGAGTACAACGTGCGATAAGTGCGAAACATGACGGTTGTTGTGGTGTTGGCCTACTCAATGTCTACGTTTCGTCACACGTACGCACAGCAGTGCCGCAAAAGCAGGGCATCCCTACAGCAGCACAAAGCGAGCGAATGGCAAAACAGAGTGAGGTGGCGTGTGGGGGGGGGACCTGCGTGCCCTATGGCCACCCTGTGCACCACTTCAACTCAGCGAATCGAAAACATGCGCCAACAACGAGAACGTAAAATAATCCCCCCAACCGCGAGGCGCTCGTTTCCTAGAGAACAGCAGACTTGTTTGTGTCTCACGTGCTTCCTTGAGTCTGTCCCTGGATGACAGGGGTTCCTTCTTGGGCTTTTCCTCCTTCTTCGTGCCCTTGCCCTTCTTGCCCATGTTTTTCCCTCTTACGCTGCTGCTGCTGCTGCTGCTGCTCTGTATGGTAGCTGCCGGTAGTGTATCGTCTCAGCGGAGTAGACCCAAACTGCCCCGTGCCAGACAGCCCGGATCCCACTTTAGCTGCGCCCCTTGACTGCTTGAGCAGCACAAGTCCTCCGAGCTCCTGGCTTGACACACGAGCAGTAGACAACAACAAAAAGTAACCTGCGCCAAACGCAAACGGTACAGTATGCGAAGAAATCGCGAGATTTACCTCACAGTTACTTAGTATACTAGCGATGGGAGATATGGTTTCAGAGTGGGTATGCACGATGCCAAATCCGCATGCGTACATGAAGCCGCATCCATCAACGAATTTATCGAGGTTATCGCCGCCATCCCAACCCGGACTTGTTAACCGGTCATGAAGGTGAATTCCCCGCGACAAAGAATAAAGTCTTGCCATTGTGTGTAACATACAGCTCACAATTTGAAGAGTTTTGTGGAGGGTTTCGATTCGCAGCCAAGCTCCTCAAGCACACGGGGTGCTCGGTAGACGGTGCTCTAGACCGAAGACCGCACGGAATATTGTACACCGAGAGCGCAAACTTTGCCCATGGGGAAAATTGGACTGATGCAGCTGTGTACGCGTGTCGCGGTCCGCACGAGGAAAGCGGGCGATCAAGAGGAAGCCTGGATGCATGTCCGCCGTTGGCGAAATCTAACCCCACACGCAGTCCGTAGTTCACTTCAAGGGGTGCATATTTGTGAAGGCAAGTCACCGTGGCCATCACTAACGTCCTCGTTGGAGAAGGGAACGCAAGGCACATCATGTAGTGTGTGGGCCCTCGCCAAGAGAGTACATGCGGAACATGAGTATCACGAGAGTTGCGAATGGAAGGAAAAAACCAAGATTGAACATTAACATTGCATGGCTACCGCGATCCGGCAGGATTGTTCCACTCTAGCACATTCAGCACGTTCTTGTCTCTGGGTGCGGTGGGCGTGTAGGGATCACGCGAGGTGTCTCTCTCCTATCCTTCTTGCCTCTCTGTGGTCTTTCGCGCGATCCCACAGCACACACTCGAATTTCCGTAGATCTGTACAGAGATTTTTGGACCAGAGAGAGCCAGGGAGCCCGGAGACGCACTGCACAACAAACCGAGACATCAAACTAACTGGGTGGGAAGGGTGCTGATTCTGGGCTTACCGTTCTGGATAAGAGAGGCCCACGCGAGGTGTTCTTGTCCCCACTGTCAGGGTCAGAGAGAGCGGCAAGAGAGCCGCCACAAGGGGATAGGGACCGGGGACACAATTCAAAAGAACCAAGAGAGACAAAGCCTCCGCGGGTGTAAACTCCGAATCTCCGATGCTCACATGAATTACCGAAATACCGCCCATAGGCACAGCACCGGGGGCAGTACGGAGTAGGGGCGGAGCCGTCAACGTAGTAGCTCTAGCTCCGAGGTGCTACGCTTGTGCCAGTCCTTGCCTTTACAACCAGGACGAGCGCTTCCACTCACACTTGCGCAGTTATGTCGCGGAACGGTGTGTCATCACCTGGTGGTGGTCCTGGCGCTGGAAGAACAGCCAACAACAGCGACTATTTCGTGGATACGAAGCTGTTGTTTCGCCTGAAGCGTTTCGTGACTGAGCAACAGGAGCGCGGAAGCCTGCCGACAGAGGATGCTGCACTGGACTATCTGTTGGATAAGTTCAAGGAGTACGTCCGCAAGCCACAGGTTTGTACGCGTTGCATGCTTCAAATGTCCATATTCTCACTATTTCCGCCGCCCTTGTACCACCAGTCAGTCAAGGCGTCAAGGCTGCCTCCGCTAAGCAACACAGATAGATACGGCGGATGTCGAATTGAGCCAATCACAACAACATGTAGATCAGTGCCAATTTTGATTTAAAATATTCATTGGAGAGAGTATTGTAGTGTCGGGAAACAATGCTGGTAGCTGCAAAATTCAAATTAATCCAGTTCGAGCCGAGAGACTTATGTCTTGGTTGCAGGCAGTTGTGGTGGTTTAGCCCTAACATTACAGTAATATCTAGTGCTTTGTCAGCAGGGAATATGGTCGCTATTCAGGGCCAGTCACTAATGCCGGTATTGCGGCTACTAGTCGGGATGCAGTGGTGTCACTCGGTTTTGTAGTCGCTACATGTCCAGGACATCGTTGAACAGGGGGTCGCTGGACCGGGCCCCACCACTGCAAGTGAAGAAAATGTCTGGAACAAAGTAGTTGTACGCGTGTGTCTGGGCCTGCAGTCTGGGTCCCACGATGCCGAACAGGTCCGACGATGCCGAGTTCAGGCGCACCGAGGACTTTGGCTCTAGGCAAGCCGTAGGTGACTTGTACTGTTGTTTCCCCTACCGATTTCTCAAGGCTGCTGCTCCGCCGAGCGACTGTGAGAGACGCCATCTCCCAATGTCCTCCTGTTATCCCTGAGAATGAAGTCCGCGTGCTCAGGTTTGACGTGTGGGTTCTATGTACATAATTGCATACAGCATATTGTTTGCCACAGATACAAGATTTGCTGGCCGACAAAACCCTCAAAGATCCCGCACACTGTCATGGCAAACGCTCTGCTTGCCTTCTATCCACACATCACACTCTAATGTGGGTAGAAGAATGCTCACACGTAGAGGGGTGGTGGGGGTAACACCGTTTAGTCCTCGAATGGCACTGCTCGTTGCCTTCGGAGCCGAAGCTGGTACTGGTCTCGACCTATGCATGGCACCAACGCCCTGTCTCACGTCGCCATCCCACGACCCCAAACGATGGTGCATGCGCGGTTGCTTTCCGCGCAGGGGCCGCTGCGAAAATCGGTGGGAAAGGCCTTGCGCAAGTGCCTCGAGGGCAGCCCGACGCCGCCCCGCGACACAAAGAAGCGCTCAAGGATGCCGGAGGGCGGCGGGGTAGAGGCAGTCGGACTCCAACAAAATCAGCACCGGCACCAGCATCAGCTCTCCTCCCCTCGCGAAGAGACCACCGGTAGCAGCGTTGTGGGCAGGCAGAGGAAGAAGCGGAGAGCTCGCGAGGGAGGTGGAGACACCACCGAGCATAACACCAAGAGCGACCACGAGGTATGCCGTGATCCTCCGGTTCGGGGCCTTCGCACGGTTTGGAGGCAGTAGTGCCCTACCCGTGTACTCGAATCAGTCGCCGGTAATGGTTGAGTTCTTGTATCTCAAGTGGGACCAGCATGTAGTAAGCAGTGCGCGTGGCGTGAGTGAGCTTGATGCGGACTTTTTATTTTAATTTTGACTTTTATTTTTGGTGAAATCGTTCTGTTTCGATCAGGACCTGAGCGAGGACGAGCTCGCTGCCAGAGAGGCCGAGGCAGGCATGCAGGGCCGTACGCACAACCTCCTCAACCAGTCCGTCGCAGCCGGGTACCGCACCAACGGAGCTTCGAGCAGGCAGGGGTTGTCCAATTCTTCTCCTGTCGACGGGAAGGATCAAGAGGGCGGCGGCTCAATCAAGGGCGAGAAGAAACGCTCCAAGCGACCCCGACCGGGGGGACCGACGGCGTCGTCAAGAGCGGCACCTTCTGCGGCAGCAGGAGGGGGCGGAGGTGGTGGTGGGGCAGCGGCAGCAGCAGGGTTGGTAGTGGAGCGCCCGTCCGCGAGGTACTCGTGTAGCACAGGGGCAACCTTTTGGTAGCCGCAACAAAACTTGTCCCATGCATACAAAACAGCTTGTCGTCCCATGCATACGCCCGCAGGACGAAGGTCATGGCGGATGGTGCAGAAAATCACACAGCGGTAAAAACACTTGTTATGAGCTATTAAGACTTGAAAACAAAACGAATCAGAAGCAATATGCAAGGTGGCAAGGCACAGATACACCGGTTTGGTGACGCGTATAAAACCCGATGCATTGCCTCTCTCCGGTGCCATGACACTTCAGGTACGATGACCTAGGCGGGATCTCAGAAATTCTCCAGGAGGTGCGGGAGCTAATCGAGTACCCTCTAGTCCACCCGGAAGTGTACGCACATCTTGGGATCGAGCCGGTGAGAAGAAACGACGCACAAATCATTCTGCACATGATGGCGTGTTGGTGTCGTTTTTTTTTCTCTCTGGCCTTTACGGTCATGTTTTTTAGTGCGGCAAGCGCGCTGTAGGGCGTTCTTTGCCCTTTTCTATCTTTGGCTAACTCTACACCGCTACTGCTGGAGGCTGTTGTGCCTGCAGCCAATGTAGGTAGTAGCACGGTCACGTGTTGCGATTTTTTTGCGTGACGTCGTTTTCGTTCTGCTCACTGCATTCTTTGTGTATGGACCAAACGTTTGAAGTCACGTTGTCGCTTGGTAGTTTTCCAATCTTGGGTACCTGCATCGATGTGTCTGTACTGCAGCCCAGAGGAATCCTTTTGCATGGCCCACCGGGCTGCGGCAAGACATTACTGGCGAACGCCATAGCTGGGGAGCTGGACGTGGCTTTCCTCAGGATATCAGCACCGGAGATCGTCAGCGGCATGTCAGGGGAGTCCGAGCAAAAGGTGATAGCGACGGGGGGATAAGAATGGTGTGTCCAACAATTGAGAGCGTGACAAACCATGTTGGGGTCCGCTGTCGCCATATCTTTTGGTACTATCCGTGGGAAGGGGCAGCAGGGAGAGCAGCAGCGGCACACGGGCGGGATGAGCGCAGGCCGCGCCATCTGTGTTTCGCGGTCCCTGTGTGGTAAACCAGCGACAGCGGGAAGGTGCACGTCACGACTTGTTTTCACTCGATCGAATATTTATTGCAGGTTCGGGAGCTGTTTCGAGCTGCGATCGAGAACGCCCCCTGCATCGTGTTCATGGACGAGGTGGATGCCATCACGCCTAAGAGGGAGACATCTTCAAGGGGAATGGAAAAGCGGATCGTGGCACAGGTGCGTGGTGATGGCTTCCTCTGTTTATCTCCGTCCGCTGTTCGTGTTTGTTTTGGGCCGGGCGCAAATGTGTCGCACTGTTCTGCTGCAAGCGGTTGGTTGTCGTGATCGTTGTTTTCTGAAGTTTCATCGGCGGTGATCGGCCCCACGCGAAGCTAGCCCTCGACGTACAGAACACGCGGGAACACCCGGCGGGGGGTGCTTGTGCTGTTTCTCTTCCTTATCAATTTTTTTCAGGGCTTTCTTCGTTAATTTCTCCGCGGTAATTTTACTGCGGTAAAACCACGGTAGTTACCGTTTCCCGTGATCCCGTGAACAATGAGAATTACCGTTAGCGCCCAAACCGTTAACGAACAAATTGAGTTTTCCCATTACCGTACAAAAGTTTACCGCGCAAATATCGCTTTTCCCGTGTTACCGCGGAATTACCGTAAGAACAATAAGATCCCAATTAACGCAGAGAAACACTAAGTGGATTGCTGGAGATCATAATAAAACGACCGCTGCCTCGCTAGGCCAACAAACAGATGTGTCCTTGCGCCCATAGACCTCTGGAAACGGAGGGTTCGAGTCCCATTCTCTCTTTTTCTGTCATCTCTTTTCTTGGAGTTTTTTTTGGGGGGGAATCTGTTTTTTTTTTTTGGCCGTTCAGCATGGTGTGGTTAACTGTACAACTTATACCGTGGCGACCAGTCACTGTACAAAATGCACATTTCTGTGCATTACCCTGGTGTCTGGTTACCGTACAAGAAAATTACCGTGGTGACCAGTTGCCGTACGGAATTTACCGTGGTGGCCAGTTCACCGCCCAAAAATTACTGTACTGTGCCGTGGTGGCCAGTTAACGCCCAAAGAATATTGCATTGTTCCGTGGTTTCTGGTTACGCGGGAAATGATACCGACATGAAAAACTGTTAACGAAGGAAGCCCTGATTTTTTTTCACGTTTTGTCCACAATTGTACGCTGGACTCCTTTCCACACGAATTATGTATGCTCCTTGCTCTTTCACTCGAATCTGAAAGCAGTCTCCTATTCCATGCGTTCTCTTGGCAACCCGATCGACCCTGCTTCGTACGCGTGCAGCTGCTCACGTGCATGGACTCGCTGACGATCGAGAACACGGGTGGAAAGCCCGTGGTGGTGATCGGAGCGACCAACCGCCCTAACGACCTGGACTCGGCGCTGAGGAGAGCCGGCCGCTTCGACCGCGAGATCTGCCTGGGCGTACCGGACCTCGCCGCGCGTGCACGCATCTTGGAGGTGTGTAGGCAGCGACGTTCCACATGATCCTGTTGTTGCGGTAGTAAATACCGTTGCAGTAGTAGCAGTAAGAAGCGCAGCTCGCTGTCGTTGGCTGCACCGTCATTGCGCGAGTGATGGAACCCCCGTTAAACCGACTCCAATGGACAGATTTTCCGCACACAAGGGGGTGCAAAATCCAGCCGATACAGCACGTCAACCAAAACCCTTCCTTTTCGGCTGTGATGCTCTCTCGGTCGTGGAGTGATCGAGAGTTTGAAGGTCTGGCTGGAGGGGGTGCGATAACCCGCGTAGATACTATGTGTGTTCTTATTTAGGTTTTCTTTGTGAGCGGTGGCGTTTTTCGAACACCAACCACTTTCAGCAACTGCGCAGTTTTTTTTTCTGGCTAATTTGTTCTTCATGCCTCGTCAAGTTCCACTGTCGACACCTACATACTCGGGAATCGGATTGCCTTCTTGTGACACCGTTTGTCCCCTGGACGGTTTCCATGCGCTGACAACAATAGGTCATGGCGTCGAAGATGACCCTAGCAGGGGATGTTGACTTCCAGCAGATCGCCAAGAAGACCCCCGGCTTCGTCGGCGCCGACCTGTCCTCGCTCACAAAGGAGGCCGCCGTCGTGGCGATCAACCGCATCTTCACCCGCCTCCGCGCCACGAGACCTCCTCCCATCACCGGCGACCCATGCAGCAACGACAACGGCAACGGTGGCGCCCCCAGCACTGCGCCCTGTGTAGCACCACCAGCAGCGACGGGCAAACCACGCGGGGGGCAGGACGCGACAGTCGCGCCAGCACACCCGGAGGACTCGGGTTCGGTTTCAGGAGCAGGGGCGGCAGAACCATCCCTGGATAGTGTTGTGGGCGACGCGAGCGGATCCCTTACTACGTCGCCGGCGTCTTCGACAGCGGTGCAGCAAGGCAAAAAGACGGCGGAGGTCGTTGGTGCAGGCGCGGAGGATGCGGCGGGGGCGGTGGGGGGCTTCCTCACGGGGCCGCTGTCCGCCGCCCAGCTCGCACCACTCAGCGTCACGATGGAGGACTTTTTGACGGCCGTGAAGAAGGTGACTCAGCACACACCGGGTTCTGATGATGTCGCCTTGTGCTTTTTTCATCTTGTGCTTTCTGTGTCACGATGGAGGACTTTTTGACGGCCGTGAAGAAGGTGATTCAGCACCCACCGGGTTCTGATGATGTCGCCTTGTGGTTTCTCCATCTTGTATTTTCTGTGTCGTGCACGACGTACAGCTCTGTTGTTGCAAAGTGGACCCTCTCGCGCCACTTAGGTATCTACAAGAGTTCTAGATGTGATGACTGATACCCACAACACAACACTCGGCACTGGAATCTATTTGCGAAACACAACTACAACGCATCACAGGTCCAGCCATCGGCGAAGAGGGAGGGTTTCGCTACCGTGCCTGGCGTTTCATGGAGCGATGTCGGTGCTCTAGCTTCCGTCCGCGAGGAGCTCGGCCTCTCCATCTTGGAACCTATAGCATACCCGGAGGTGAGCAAGAGCTCCCATGAGTCGATGCGCCGTGTATGCCCCCCCGTCTTGTCTATCGTGGACGTTTTCCCGCTTCATTGAGCGAATCTCCGACCATTCGTACACACACCGGTAAGCTACCGGTTGGAAGAGCGCAGCGAGCGGGTGTTCGGTGCGTATGAGCGACCAACATCGGTTTCGCACTGGAACTTGAACCAACTGAAACCTAAACAGTCAAGCGATCGTTTTGACCTGCCACGACGCGCTCTCAAGCGTGCAACAGCGTAACCACCAGCAGCTCCCATGGGTGACCGTGTTGAGGAATGAGAAATGTTCGGTGTGGGTCCAGTGTTGGGCGTAGGGACCGAAGATCATGCGCAGAACACCATCGAGTACACTCACCCCCAGCAGTTTTTGTAGGGCTAGCCCATCGCACGCGATAGCTTCATGATAGCTCCTGCTGGTATTGATCTCGAGGTCGAGACCCCTCGCACAGGAGGCCCAGCCTGAGCCCGGTGTAGAAGAGTAGTGGAGTTTGGGGTCTTCGGTTTTCAAAGATGCAATCATGAGGAGGCATACTGGAAAGGAGTGTTTGGGAGGAAGCCCTTTTGCGCAACGTTGTCGCTCTTGTTTCAATCGATTCCCAACCTCGAGAAAAGGAAGAAGCGTCGCGCTCAGAGGACGTCTGCTTGGTAGTTTTGCCTATCTTGCACGATGTACGATAAATATGAAGTAGATGGCTATTTTGCAATGCCGAAGGTAGGAAATACCATGACAATAGTTCCCTTCCCCCTCAGCGGATTCAGCCGTCTTGTCCCACCCACGATCTGCTGCATACGGGTGATTTTTTTCTGTGGTTTTCTGCCGCACACCAAACGTTTTGCGCTTTCTTGGGCACATCCGCACTGCTGCTGCTGTGTAGAGGTTCGAGAAGCTGGGCCTGACGATTCCGGCTGGCGTGCTGTTGTACGGGCCCCCTGGTTGTGGTAAGACCCTGCTAGCGAAAGCTATCGCCAACGAGAGCGGGGCCAACTTCATCTCTGTCAAAGGTGTGCGATCGTTCTCGGCAAAGACAGATCCAACAGTTTGACCTCGTACGTTACGAGGCCATCGATCACCAAATTACGGCGCAACGACCACTCCAAGTGTGTGTTTTTTTTGCAGCCGCCCCTGAGCTTGGTCTTGCACCTGGTCACCGTCGATGGTGTTTTTACGCTCCGAGCTCCCGAGGGTATGATGAACTAAGTACTTAACCTTGGCGTGAACGAAGAACCATAATCCTTCACTTGGCAACCCTCTCCCGTCCCTTGCGTTGCTTTAAGTAAGTCGTGCCTGCCGAATGCGAAACGTTTGGTTAGCCGGGATGCCCAATTAACCCATGACATGCTCATCCTTGTGAAACGTCGCCTGGATCGGTGAAAGCCGGCATGTCACTCCGTCCCGGCATTTGTAGGGATGCGTGGTGAATGGTCTAACTACTCCCGGATGCATGTACATAAGTACTACCCCCCCCCCCCACGAGTACTGCAACGAATTGTGTCGAGAAGACAACACTTGAGACGACTTACAAAAACAGTTCACCCCAACACCAAATGACACGAAACCTTTTTAGGTCCGGAGCTTCTCGACAAGTACGTCGGAGAGTCGGAGAAATCCGTCCGCCAAGTTTTCCAGAGGGCGAGGGCGTCCTCCCCATGCATCATTTTCTTCGACGAGCTCGATGCTCTGTGCCCGAAGCGCGGGGGTGGGGGTGAGGGGGGCGGGGTCACCGAGCGGGTGGTGAGTATTTTGCATCCTTGGGAGGCATGCGTAGCTGTAGGGCCAAGGGTCGGCTGTTCTTCCCGGGACTTTATTTGGCATCAAGGCATTCTCGCAGGGCTATACTCGCAGGACGCCTTTGGTCGGGGGCGACGGAGGCCGTGCGAAGATTCTTGCGCGTGAGCAGTCTAGCATGCGGCGCATCCGTCGCTGGCCGTCTTGTGATGTTTTCAACGGGGTCGATCGCCAGGGGGGAAGGCCCAAGAATCCCCTCGGTTATGGGGGCAGACAGCAGCCGGACGGAAAACCAAAACGGTTTTCACACTTCTTGCGCTGCTGTGCCCGCTCCTTGCCGCATGATGCGCGTCAGGTGAACCAATTGCTGACAGAGATGGACGGGTTGGAGGCTAGGAAGAACGTCTTCGTGGTTGCCGCCACCAACCGGCCGGAGCTCATCGACCAAGCCATGCTTCGTCCTGGCCGGCTTGACCGTCTTCTGTACGTTCCTCTGCCGAGGTGAGAAAACCGACCGTAATTACAGCCCCCATCGCCTAGCGTTTGGAGGTTCTCTCGCGATATGCATGCTTGATGAAAACCGGTGATATTCTCAAATGCGGTATTGGCATTCCTCGCTTTTTTCTGTGTTTTGGCTCTCCTCTTGGCGCTCTCTTTGTTGTCTTGTAGCTGGACGTTTTTTGGCGATGTTGTCGACACACGTGTTGTATTGGAGACAGAGGTCGATGCACCAGTGTGTGACCGTTGACTGGTTCAAGGGACCGTGGTGGTGCAAGCGTACGATGTAACCGCACTAGTTACCCATGATGGCACGAGTTTCCTCTTCATGCGCTGCCACTCGCGGCCGTCGTTTAGAGGTAGATTAACATGCGTCGACCTCGGCATACCTGCGCACGTAGCCCCCCTCGCGTGTTGGTCCCTCTGCTTGCTAGTTTCAGTGCTGCCCGCCGTCTTCCCTGTGTACCTGCTGTTTCTTGCCTCTTCAATCGCCATGCAGGCTACAGGATGTACCTTGAGAGCTGTGGGGGACGGTGTGTAATATCTTTCCTCGGGGTAGTTTCAAATACATGCTCCTCGTTGCTTGGCCACATCTTGTCTAACTCCGCTTCCTTCCTCGTTTTGTGTGTTGTATTCTTTCCCCCCCGCAGCGCCTCTGATCGCGTGTCCATCTTGAAGGCGTTGTCCGCCACCGTTTCTCTTGGCCCCGACGTCGACCTCCATGCGGTTGGCCACAATCCCAAGGTAGGCTACCGTGATGTGACGTGTTGGTTAAGTATCACAGTATCACGACAACTTCTAGATAAATAACACCACCCCTCACAAGACAAGACTCCCGTTGTGCAGACATAAGTATCGTGTGGATACAGCTTTATTGGGCTCCTTCATACTATTGTGTTTCTGTACGGCAACTACCATTTCAAGTCTGTACGGCAGTCACGCACACCCGGATCCGGGGAGGTTTGGGCTGCTCCGAGCCTGATGCGGTGCGTCTTGTCTTTGTAGGGTTGTGTTTTTACGGCAACGTTGCATTGGTTTGGATAAATGATGAGAACGCACGTTCTGGACAACGCTACAGGCGGAAGGCTTCAGCGGAGCCGACTTGGCGGCACTATTGCGGGAGGCCGGGCTGGACGTCCTGCGACAGCTCAAGAGCCGCGAGCTGATCGTAGGCAAGGGCGCTTACACAGAAAAGGGTGAGCCCAGCTTTCGACATACCCCCCCCCCCCCGCGCGCGCGCGAATTTGAGGCACTTGTAAATTTCTGAGTATGGGTCCTTCCTCACCGGCTTGTATCGTTCCTGTTTGGTAGCCAGCGCAGGCGTAGAACATTGGTTACACAGCGATGGCGTAAAAAAGCACCAACTTTGTGGAGGGGGGTGTATTTCGCCTAAGCCACGCCATCAAAAAGTGTGTGCTGGCCAGCTTCGGAGGCTGACATGCCCGGCCTGTATCCCCTGAAGCCCCCGATTGATTTTGCATTTGTTTTTCCGGGGGTTAATAAAAATTTCAAGAGTTTTGAGGCTCAGAGAGGTGTGGTGTACTATGTTTCCCCGGCGTTGAGAATTATTTTGTTTCTGTGGCACACATTGGCAGTGGACGACCCCACGGTACCTCCTTCACGAATTGTCTCTTGAGAACATAAAGCAGAGCCATCCCTCCCAGACCGCACGCACCTATGGACAGCACCAACAATGTCACCTGTTCCGATCTTTCAAGATTCGCAGTAACACAGCAATCTGGCGTGCTTTATCCTCTTGCGTTAACCCTGCTACTTTCCTTGACGGACCCCACAGGAGCTGGGACGGTAGTGATGGCGACAAACTTCGATAACGCCTTCCTCCGGACGCAGCCTTCAGTTTCTGCCACCGATCGTGCCTTCTACGTCAGCATGAAGGATCGCCTCTGCAAAGCAAGGGCACACCCTTCGGAAGCGCTTCCTCCTGCCGGCGGTGGCGATAACGAGCCGGCAGCACCAATACCATCTTCGGCGTAAGGACGGAGGGATCCTCGTGCAAGGTTAGGTGGTGGAGGCCGTGGCAAGGTGGCGGCTTCGAAGCAAACGGAAAGTGAAAATTTTGGCTCGCTTTGGGGATTGATTAGAACTGCAGGCCGTGCGTGCGCCGCGTCTTCCACGCGCGTAGGTTATCTCAGGATTCATCTGTGCGTGCGAGACCCACGCGATTGATGCTGCCTTTGACGTTGGGAACACGTGGCGGGAAGGAGAACAGACTTGTGCCCACGAAAACGGTGTAAGATATTTTTGGGGGGGTGCCGCGTTTGGTATTTCGGTAGCTAGATTGGGGATCAGTCACACCACGCTTAGATCCTCGTGGCACGATGTGCACGATTCGGAGACCCGTGAGGTGGCATGTTCCCGATGCGAGCATTTCGTTAGCGGTCCGTGGTACGCAAGGAGTTCCCTACCATATTTGTGCCCGTGATTGTTTGTGAAGAAAATGTTTGGAGTCCAAGCGTTGCTGCAACTAGCATGAGGCTGAGGTGGTGGTCGTTGTTGCAGCGGACAAGGATGATGAGAAGGTTGTTTTATGTACCAGCAGCCCGTTAATTGAAGCATGCCTTGGGTCTTGCTTGGGTCAGGCCATTTAGTTGTCCTATGGGGTAGAAGGGTCAAGAGCCCCCACCAACGAGAGTGTTGCATCGGGGGGGAGAGGCAACCGATCACTCCCCGCCCCCCTCGTAGAGATATATTCCTGGCGCCGATGTATCGCAAACGAGTTGCAGCATTTCCAAGGCGTGCGGTGACGTCATAAGCGAATCTTTTGCTGTTCATTTCTTTTTTATTTTCGGTACGGCCATCAAGGATTGACGACGTGCAAGTTTTCATTGTGCTGGAACCAAACGACTTCATCATTACCCAAGCACCGATGGCATTGTTATCGCGGTTTCCTTGAGAATTTCCTATCCGGCATTTTTACCCGAGGTCAGCCTCACGAGAACAAGAGGGGGAAGCCGAGGGCGGACTGTTCTTTGATGTTACAGGTGATGATTTACACGCTGTTGCCTTCAACGCATGCACTGAAAACCGACCTTTTTTTCTGAAAAGTGGCATGCACGCCGCAACCTTTAACTCAATCGCCACGCTCCCCCCTTGGTGCATGTTTTTTCTCTAATGTGGTTGTTTTCGAATGCTCTCCCCTCTTCTGTTTCATAACATGGAAGGACCAAGCACGTGATACCCTACTGAGTGGCTTGAGAGGTGCTATATAGCGTTGAGCTACTTGTTCTTTTGTACGCGACGTTACGTTCCAGTTGACACACTTTGACATATGAACGGAAGGAAGGAAGGCGTTTAGTGGCGGGGGAGAGTAACATCTGAGCAACATGATCTGCACATAAAACAATAGCCATGCAGAAATCGACTCGCAGTGTTAGTTTCCGATGCCACATTCAATCGCCGCGTGCTCCCGTACCACCATGTCTGATATTCATGTGCATATTGTAGGATGCATGGCGAAGATGCAGAGAGAGAGAGAGAGATACACTTTTTTTTTTTCTTAACCCTCTACACTGATGATTTATACCAGTGATGCTAGGGCATGCAATCTCCCTCAGTTTTCAAACGTATTTTCAATGTGGTACGCGTATGTACCGGGTACGTACGTAGTCTATATGCCTTTTTTTTTCATTTCTTTTCATTTTGAAACGTCCCGTGGTCCAAACGCAACTCACTAACCATGGACATTCACCGTTTTTTTGTGTCGGAGGAACACACACCACATCTTTTCCCCTCCCCTCCCTCCATTTCAGACTGGTAGGGCTGGTAAAGGCTGGGGAGAGAGACTCGGGCGGCAGAGACAAGACAAGACGCCACCCCAAGAGGGATCCTGCTTCGGCAGGGACTGACACTCATTCTCTCGCCCCGCGCTTGCGAGTCATGTTTCCGTCCTGCCGTGTGGATTGCGGGTGAAGATGTAAAAACCCACCCCGGAGAGTCATCTTTGTGGATTGGAGGCTGCCAAAAAAATGTGAGTGATGAACTACGCCCACAGGGTTGACGAGGAAGCGGAAATCTTACGTACCGAACGCCAACGGCATGCTGGGTTAGGACGGGGGGTGATCGGATGGCGGCAGTTGTACCGGCGCTCCTATCTGTAGTCTTTCACAGTAGCCGCAGTCGATCCTGCTCGGTCGGCCAAAATATTTTTGCCCAAGCAGTAGTTCAAAGACCCCGGCTGGAGAGATGGGGGCTTGGGAGCGGCAACAGCGACATGACCATACTCCGAATGTCACGCCTCGTTTGTCTCCCACTAATAGTACGAGGTCGACCACGGCCGTGAGGCCTCTCTTCGAAACCAACGTGTTTGGTGAACAAGCCAGAGAGTGCGAGTCGAGTGAAGATCGAAAACTATTAATAACGGGTGATGGGAGACGGGGGTGTGTAGGTAAGGTGTGGTTGCAGTTGATCCGTAAAAAAACATGTTCAAGAGCAGATACCAAATTGATCGTGCTCGCCCGCCGCCACCGCTGCCGCGCGGGCACGGGGTTCGGCCAGCACTGTGGGTGTGAAGCGCAGGCGTTTCGTATTACTTTATGTATCGGGCGTGCATGGCGAGCTCGGTTTTGACCTCGCTCAAACACCGTATGCAAAACAGAGGTATATAGCGCCACTCCTCTGCTGCTGCGGTATCTCTTCACAGCAACCAACCACCGACTACTCTTCCTGGGAAAAAGTCTCTGTGGGTCAGTCAATTCAGGAGCAGCAAGTGAAAAGGGTCAGCTTTCCAAGTTCTTGCGCTGCGGCCTTTTGGTGGAGGCTGCCTTGGTGTTACATACTCAAACTCCTGTAGGCGCCTTTTGATGCAAACAGCGGTGGCGTATCATAGGGCACACACGAGTGTAAGGCCAGTTTGATGTTGCGATGTGTTGTTCCATCTCTCCGATCTCTCCGCTCTCTCCGCCTCTCGACACACAGGGGCGCGGATAAACAAACAGGCCATTCGCGGATCTTGTGCTGCTCTCTTTGCTTGCCGATTTTTTCCGTTCAAATTGCAGAATCTGTGAAGCAGGATCGTTACAGACCTCGAACTCCCGACCCCGCTCCGGCGGCGCTCCTCCCACTGCGCTTCTCCTTGTCTTGCTTACCAACGAAATATGCATAGACTACAGGCAGGCGCAGGACTGCTGTGATCTCGCTGTGATTGCGCATGATGAGGACAAGGGACACTCGCGTACGTATCTTTTGCTTGCTCAACTGGCTCTCTACTGCTGTCGTACTCTGTAGGTCGTGCGTGACAATGCCGCGATATACCACAATATGCTTTAAATAGTTCACAAATGCAGACACACAGAGGAGGCGACAGCAATTAATGCAAGAGGGGGATTCAATCACCAAAATGTGGTCACAAAGTGTCCCTATGCTCTCCTCTGACCACCCAGCTGACTCCCGTCAACTCGTGATGTCTTCAACCGCACAAAACAGGGTACGGAGTATTCATTCCCTGAGAGAAGGTGGGTGAGAGGGAAGAGAGGAAGGAAAAAGAGAAAATCTCGGCGTCTTTGAAGAAAACAACGAAGGAGAGGAAGTGCGGCAGCCTCGGGCCTGCTTCACCACACGTTTTGTGCCGAGCGAGATAAGGGACGGCATCGTGCTCAAGCAGACGTGCACCCATCGCGGAGGCTGGTTCTCTCTCCACACACGTGAGAGCTCGTCGCGATCTCTCGATATTTTTTTCCCGCTCTAGGCAGGAGGTTGGGGGCCAAGGTGCAACTGAAACTTGTGTCGGTTGAGAATTTTTTAGAAAAATGGCATAGAAATACAGGTACTTTCTGACGCTATATGAATCCATTGCCAATCTGTCTCGACTCTTTTCTATGATAAAGAAAGATGGTTTCGTTGTGTCATATTAAGAAAAATAAAAAATGGCCTTTACACTGTACTCCACATGGATGGATGGTTGTTCTTGTTCACCAGTCAGAATGATCTCATGGAAATTTACAGGGGCGTCAATTTTCGGTTACTACAGCAGACAGCACACCACGAGCGGTCGCCCTCGAGTGACACACACACGCCCAAACAGTAGTAGGCCGAGTGACAGAGAGAAGTGCATATGCATAGCTTCCTTCACAGGGGGACAAGGTTTTGGTTGTCTTGGATGCGTACCCTGCAATGTGTACAACAGACAGGGCTTCAAACCACTTGTCGTGTGGTATCCAAAAAATGGTATGTAAAATTAAATAAATAATCAATTAAATATATAATTATATAATTAATTTGTTGGGTTTTCTGCGGGGCCCCCGCCTTAGAGAATAGAGAACTGTCGGTCGGGCCGTCGGGTGAATGGATGTTAGGAACGAACGTCGTTTGGCGGGTGAACAAAGAAGAAGCCATCATCAGATCAATTGTTTCAAGTTGAAGACAGGTGTGTGTGTGGTGCGCGTCTCGTACACAGCAGCGCCTGCCCTGTCCACCACCACTGTCGCTTCCGTATGCACTGACTGATGGTGGTACAGGCAACACATGGTGACAACTCTACCACGCATGCGTTGCCCTCGAGGCAGTAGAGACACACGAGACGGCCAGCAGCGTGGCGAAGATGAAGCGATCTTGGTTCTTAGAGGAGAGTCTTTGGTGTGTGCAAGCTGCTCATCACACACACACCCCGCACGTGAGCACTTTCTTCCACTCACTGATCACAGCATACAACACCTTTCCGCGTCCGAGCGTCAAAGGATGCCTGCCATGATGGTACAGACTCGGGTTGTCGATTCGCTTCGATCAAGGGTGAGACGAGAGGAGCAAGGAGCGAGGTGCTGTGAAAAACGGCTGACGGTTGTGAACTGATGGGCGCGGGGGTGGTGCTGCGAAGAGAAAATACCCGGGAGAACGGGAGAATGTCACAATGCCTTCACCCGGTCGGATGTCGGATAGATGCGTTTGTCCGACGATCCGCCACTGGCTGACGACGCGGGTGGCCGGGAACATCTTCTTCTTGAAAGATAGGTTGGATCCATTCCTCCGATGGCGCTTATGGAACAACGAGGAAAAAGCAGCCCCCGTGTAAAGTTCTTTGTACTATCCAAACAAAGATCGAAAGATCCCGGAACTTTCGGATTGATTGGTGTTCGGGACTGTGGAGAGCTCCCAATCACAGTGTGTCGTACGACAGCACGTTCATGAGCAGCCCGCGTACAATCTCGTTCATCAATTCGTTGTGCAGTGCATTGTCGCCACGGTCTGCTGCCTCGTGTTAGAGCGGAGTCGTACGTAAGTGATGTAGCGTATGCAGCAAGTTATGTTAGCACGTTCCATACATGACATATACATAGATATACACACGTGGTCAACACTTGACTCCTGCGTACTGTGTTATTTACCTGCTGTTGTATGTACAGAGTCGTGTACTTCTGCAGCAGCAGTACAGCTCTACAGCAGTACAGCACCCACCCCCGCTTCATCTTTACGGCGCTCGTCACTGCTGTGTCGTATTTGTCGTCAATGTCAATGCCACTGAGGGAGACATGACCCCGTTCTTCTTCTCACGTACACATCATTTGAAAACTTTCCGTGCTCTACTGATGTTGTTTACCAACACCAAACATAACAAGAAACAACCTAACATGATACAAACTGAATGCTATGCCCTACCTACCATGCACGCACCAGGTAGGTGTACCGTTCTCATCTACTACTCTGTTGTTGTAAACATCATTGATACGTTACCCCAAAGGATCAAATACAATACGTTTTGTAAATTAAAGAAACGGCGGGAAACACCTGCTGCCCGTGAGATTCAAATATGCTGTCTGGGAAACCGTAGACACAGGTGCT